GATAGGGGCTGGGGATTTAGGTCCGCGGCATAAGCGCCTGCCTTGTATAGCAGGCAGTTGTGAGTTCGATCCCTGGTACCGATAAAAAGGAAAAAGACAAAAAAAGAAAAGAAAATGAAAGGATATTCCTTGCTCTTGGCTAGGAAGAACCAACATTGTGAAAAATGGCCATACTCCCAAAACTGTTCTACAGATTTAACACAATCCCAATCAAGATATATTAGTATATCTCACAGGTTAGAGAAAACACTCCTAAAATTCACTTGGAAACAGAAAACACCCAGAATAGCAAAGGCAATTCTGGGCAACAAAAGCAAGGCAGGAGACATCTCAATTCCTGACTTGAAACTATCTATAAAGCCACAGTGATAAAATCAGCATGGTACTGGCAAAGAAATAGACCTGAAGATCAATGGAACAGATTAGAAGATGCAAACACAACTACAAAGACACTCAGCCACCTGATATTTGACAAAGGCACTAAAAATGTTCACTGGAATAAGGATAGCCTCTTCAATAAATGGTGTTGAAAAATTGGCTCTCCACATGCCGAAGACTGAAACTAGATCCATGCCTATCATTGTGCACGAAACTAAAGTCTAAATGGATCAAAGGCCTAAATATTAAAACAGAAACAGTAAATCTACTGGAAGACACGGTAGGTAGAAGTCTTGGAGACATAGGGATAGGCAGAGAATTCATGAACAAAATGCAAACTGCATGGGAAACACTTTAAAGAATCAACAACTGGGATCTCATATTATTGAAAAGTTTCTGTACCTCAAAAGAAATCACCAATAGAGTGAAGAGAAAACCCACAGATGGGAAAGAATTTTAGCTAGTAACTCCTCAGACAAAGGACATATCCAGAATATATAAAGAATTGAAAAACATCAAGCCCCCCAAATTCAAAGACCCTCTCCAAAAATGGGCATCTGAGATGAACAGTTCTCAGATGAAGATATATAAATGGCAAATAAATACATTAAGAAATGTTCACCATCACTGGTCATTTGAGAAATGCAAATTAAAACAGCACTGAGATTTCATCACACTCCAGAAAGAAGAGCTGACATCAAGAAATCAACTGATAACAAATGTTGGCAAAAGGAACACTGCTCCACTGTTGGTGGGAGTGTAGACTGGTGCAATCACTATGGAAATCAGTGTGGAGAATTCTCAAAAGACTAGGATTGGAAGTTCCATTCAACCCAGCTACTCCCCTCCTGGGTATTTTCCCAAAAAAACTGAAAAGGTCATATCAGAGTGATAATTGCACATTTTATAGCAGCACAATTTGTGATAGCTAAATGTTGTCAACAACCAAGATACCCATCAACCGCAAAGTGGATGAAAAAGATGTGGTATTTTTACACAATGGAGTATTACTCAGCTATGATCGAACTCACAAAAAGCATGATCTTGAGGCCTTTATACACAAATGGAGACAACTTGAGACTATACTCATTAGTGAAAGAAATAAGAATCATTATTAAAAATATCATATTGTGCCCCCCATTATCAAATGGGAACCAGAAATCTGAGCGTCTCCTGGGAGGTTGACCATAGCAAATAAGGGGGACTTCCTTCTACCATCTGTTTGAAGGCAAATATTTTTATTACTGTTTTGCTCTTTTCTGATTAATGGTACTGCTCTATTCAATATTCTGTTTTGATAAGTTCTATAGTGTTCTATATTTCATCTCATTTTGACATATGTGATTGAAAGAACACTATTATAACGATAACAAAATATACTGTGATACCTATTACTGTTATCCCGGTAACCTGCTGTGAAGTTCTGTACCAATTTCACTGTACGATCTTAGTTGGCTTTATTCTGTCTTGTTCTGTTGAATACTTTCAAAATAAAAAAAATCATATTGTGTCTCTAGAGAAATATAGCAGTAACAAAATCCAAAATGTGTAATTTCTATTATAAAAAAGAGAGGAAAAGAAAGTGCTCTAAAAAATATAACTGCATGTATGTTTAAGTGTGTAGGATTCATAACCATATTACTAAGTTTTTTGTTGGATAATTGAGCAGAACTGTTTGCAGTCTCACTATTTGAATGTCCACTTTGTATGCTTTACTTTTGTAACTTGAACAACTATTTCTAAGACAATATGTAATTATCAACTAGTGATTTCTTACTGTTTTTTTTTAAATTATGTATTATCTCTACCCTTTTTCTGTTTTGTTTTGTTTTGTTTTGTTTTCTCTAGATAAAAAAGGCATCTCAGAGAGCGGTGGAATTAAAAATAATTTTCACTCTCTTTAAATTTTTACATGCTTTATTATCAGTCATTTTTTTCATTTTATCAGAATCATGCATGTAAATACTATACAGAAGCATATGGTTTTGCAAGGTTCATTTAAAAAATAGCCCCAAACCAGGTATGGTGGTGCACACCTATCACCTCAGCACTTGAGAGGCTGAGATAAGAGAATTGCTGAGTTTGAGGCCAGCCTGTGCTATATAGTGAGATCCTGTCTCAAATAAATAAATAGTAGCCCCAGCTCTTTGCACCTCTTATTTTTCACTCACAAGATGCAGTCTGTACCGTAGACCAAACTCATGATCTTGCACTTGCCAGGCAGGCACTTATGCCACTGAGCTAAATCCTTGGCCCAAGTCATTTCATTTTCTAGCCATCTCTAACTACCATAATGTTTTTTAAAAAAGAAAATGAGAAAAAGGCCAGAGATATAGCTCAGTGACAGTGCCTGCCTGACAAGTGTGAAGTCCTGAGTTCAATTCCCCATATAAAAAAGAAAGAAAGAAAGAGAAAAAGTAAGTAACAAAACCTAAGCGAGCTCTTCCTTGTCTTTACCCTTGGCTTGTGGAAGATAATGACTGGCCTTGGAATGTATCAGAAAGCATAACAAAATGATATGGGGGGGATGCTAGATTGCATGGTATTAGTTGGTACCCACTGTAGTCACGGCTTACAAGGAGAACCATTACATACAAGACACAGAATTTACATTATTATTTTATAAAGGTCACCCAAAGTTAAATACAAAAAGTGCAGGAAATCTGTCCACAACACTAAAGACCCAGGAAATCCAGTCAAGGGCCTGGATCCCATAGTAATGTCCTGCATGTGTCCAGCTGAAGACCTAGAACTCATAGAAAAGCCTTTCCAAGTCCAACTGGAGGCCTACAGCCCACAACAAGGACTCATGCAAGTCTGCTTAACAGATCTGCACTGGGAAAGCCCTAAGGTTAGTGGTGGAAGCTAGAAAGTCTATGCCAGCAGGGTGAAGGAATTGTGCTAGTATAGGTTGAGGGTTCTACAGTGAAGCCAAGAAGTGATGCTTAGAATGACCAGGGCTCCCACGAAAATTATCACAGGCATCCTGAGCAACAATGAGATCCCGAGCTCCTCTGACAACAGTAACAGCTGAATGCGTCAGTAAGGCAGCATAACAAGCTTTTCCTGGAGATTAAACAGCAAACACCTTCCCCTCCAGAGCCAGGAAGCGATGCTTAACTTAAGGACCAGAGCTCCCCAGAGGTCCCCAAAGTGAACCTCAGCCATTCTCAGCAACAAGGTCCAGAGCTCCTCCTATGATAATGGCTGAACAGCCACACTTAAGAGAACCCACAACACCATACTCTTCCTCTCCATGTCTCCTTTTATGTTGGCAAGTTTCCTCAGGTAGGCCATCTACACTCGGCACCATGCTGATTTAATTCTTCTGTTGTTAAACTGACCACCAGTTTTTAATCCATAACAATATGTGAGCAGCCAACTATGATGCCCCAGTAAAAGCTCTGAACATAACTTGGCTCAGATATTCTGACTGGTAGTATTCTGTGGGTATCACCACACATCCATGCCAAGTGTTTAATGCTTCACTGACTTTACAAGGAGACGATAACAGCATGTTTGGTACCCTTTTGAACTCTATCTTACACATTTTCTCCCTTGGCTGACTTGAATTTGTATCCTTACATTGTGACAAATGGCAACTAGGAATAAGATAGTTTCAGTGAGTTCTGTAAGTCTTTCAAGAAAATTATCAAACCAGAGAGGTTTTTGGAATCTTTTGACATTCCAACTGGTGTCAGAAGGGCTGTTGTGGAGATCTGTCTTCTCCTAATCATGTAGTGGGCTAATCTAGCACATTATTCTTGAGGGACTCCCCGTGCCCTGAGTGAGTGGAGGCTGTTTCTTGATTTCAGCCAAGACAGTATGATAAAGGTAACAGGATGCACAGAATTATGGGTATGTAATTGTGTTAAACAAAACCATAGCACTCTCTTGCCAAAATCTCAAACTTCCTAGCTTTGAAGAATTAAGCTACTACTGTTGTGGGCTCACAAGTAAGGAGTTGAAAGCAGCTCCTGGAAGCTGAGGGAACCCTCAGCTGACAGCAAGAAACAGAAGCCTTCAGTCCCATAAATTCTACCCCAAAGAGTGGGTGCTTCTCCTGCCATGCCATAAACAGCCCCGGCTACTTTCATTATAGCTTTGTGAGATGCCAACCAGAACTATGCTCAGAATCTTAATCCAGAAAAGCTGAAATAATAAGTATACATTGTTTAAAATCAGTAAGCAAAAAAATAAAATCACTAAGCTTGTGGTTACTTTTTATACAATAGGAAACTAAAACAATCCGTGCTCCCTCTACTGCCACTGGCACTTAACCACATCCTCCTTCCCATAAAGTGAATCATAATGTTGATGAGATTAACAGTCAACTCTTCTATTACTGTCATTTTATAAATATAGCTGAGAACTATCGTCAAATTGGACTATGACTACTTTGTCATGTGTGTCCCACATGAGTACTTTTGCTGAGAACTGAACCCAGGCCCTTGTGTGCCTCTGTCACCTTTTTTTATAATGTTAATATACCTTGGATTTTTTGTTTGATACTTTTCAGTTTATCATCATTAATTGTCCCTAAAATGCTTTCTTATATGTTCAAATATAGTAGGCTGTAAGAAATACAATGCACAACTCATAAACAAGACTGATAGACTACATTAAAATTTTACAACTTAGTTTATTAAAAGGCACCAAAAAAGACAATCACATAGAAGTTGTCACATAAGCAACAAACAAAGGCTCAGTTTTACAGAACATACATAGAACTGCAAAACAATGAGGAAAATGTAAACCAGCTTTCGTACTCGGTTTACTCAGCCCTGGGACATGAAACCCACCATCCAGAACTAAAAGAAAAGAAGTCTTATTTGGCTGTTGGTTTCAAGGGATTCAGTCCATGATCACCTGGCTCCAAGGCAGAAACATTCTGGTGGAAGGGCATGGCAGGACAAAGATGTTTAGGTCATGACGGCTGGGAAGAAGAGCAGGTAACAGTACTGGAGGAGAAGCAGCCAGGGACCATACATAGTATCCAAGGTCATGCTATCATGATCCACCCAGATACATCCAGAAGTGTGCTTTATCCCATAGTGGGCTTACAGGCCAATCAACTTGACCCAATTAAGCTTAACTATCACATTTTATTCTTGTCAATTTGACACTCAAACACAGCTCTTAAATCATACTTCATCTCTAAACACAAGAAAAAGGTCATAATTACACCTAACATGATACAACTATCCAGTGTATGAATGAAAGTACAATAATCTCTTCCCTCAGTCTCAAAAGTTCCAGTATTTTTCAAAAGTCCCAAGTCAGTCTCTCCTAAGAGTCAAGGCAAACTCCGAGCCATGAATGTATATAAAAATCAAGAACAAGTTACAGAATCCCAATAACATTCTTATTCCAAAAGGGAGGACTAAAGAGGATAAAAAAAAAAAAAACAACTGAACCAAAACAGCCCAAAAACCAGCAGAAAAAACATTAAATCTTGCAGGTTTATGTCCAGCATCCATAGCACACAGTGGTAAAATGTGGGTTCTAGAGGGCTTCAGTTGCAGCTCTCACAGCTTTTTCCCTGTGCTGGCTCCACCTTCTGTCCGTAACCTTCTTCAGCAGATGTTCTGCATTTCTGGCATCTCAAACTTCCAGGGTCTCCACTGGACTTTTAGTCTCATAGCTTCATGCACTGTCCTCTCAGGAGCTCTTTGCCTAGCCTCCCAGGCCTTCCTTTGCAATCTGAGTTGAAGCCTCTCTGACTCCACAATTCTTGCATGCCATATGCCAATAACACCAGTATCAAATGGAAGTTACCAAGCTCTGTTACCAGTGCAGAAAGTAGGTAGGCCCCCTTGAAATTTGGCTGGAACAATGTCCAAATGCCTGGATGGCTGAGCACAGTGAAATGAATCCCAAGGACCCAATTCCCCAGGAGTGCCTTCTCAAGCAGAGGGGCTAGACATTCTCTTCTCAAACAAAAAGTTTATACTTTTGCATCTTTGAGCCTGCAGTGCGTGAAGTCTTGCTGATTCCTGAGATGCCCTGAAGTCATCTTTCTTGTCTCTGTATAAAGTAGTTGATTCCTTTCGGTGGCGATAATCTCTTCAGCAGACAGACTTTGGCCCAAGCATTACATTTGGCTCTTTCTGGGCCAAAATAGTAAGTTTTTAAAACTTTTGTGCTCTGTTTTTTGCCCCTTGTTCTTGCTATAAACCTGGCTCAAAGTAGTCAGCAGTTTCCATGCCACAGTCTGAATACTAGGCTGCCTTGAAATTTCTTCTGCCAGATAAACTTGTCTTCCACCCTTAATCTGCCTCCTGCAAAATCTCAGCATGGGCAAAATGTAGGTTTTATTTAATTTAGTCAGAGTATAATATGTGTCCTTTGGTCCAACTGCCAACAAAGTCCTCATTTCCAGCTGAAACCTCTTGAGCCTGGCCCATTAGCATTCTGGTCTTACGAGCTCTAAGCAGAATCACCCATCAGTCTCTGCCTACAGCATTCTAAGGCTTCTCTAGCGAGCCTTGCCAAATCTTTCCAAACTCCTGCAAGTTCCAATGGCTTACAAACCACCTAGTAAGGGACAGTCACAGCAACACCACTTCTCCAGTACCAATTTACTCTATTAGTCAGCTTCCCCCATCACTAGGACAAAATATCTGACATCCCAAGTTAGAGGAAAAGGAATTTAATTTGGTTCACAGTGTTAGGCGAGTCACTCCATGGTCATTTTGCTCCAAGGCAGAAACATCAAGGTAGAAGGGTATGGAGCAACAAAGATGCTCAGTTCATGATGGCCCAGCGGAGCTGGGTAAGTGCCAGAGAGGAGGCCAGAGATCATATAAAGTTCCCAAGGTCACACTTTCAGGACACACCCACACCCACACCCAAAAATGTGCTTTACTAATCTCATAGGTGGCTCCCAAGTCAACTGAGCTTACATCATTAAGTTTAACCTCACAGCAAATAAGAAAATGTGCAAAATATATGAACAGGAAAAAGTGAACATCAGTTGCCTCTAGGTGGACTGCTGTTTGACTACCAAAGAGAGCAACATTTTACTAGAAACTTGTCTCTCTGAGTTTGGTACTATATGCATACATTACCTTCCCAGAAACACAAATGGAGTGTTACTAAAAATGAAAATAAATTTAAAAATAAGTTATGTGTTATATTTAGCCATGTTATAAAGTACTTTAGATTTTCCTACAAGATTTTTGTATCTCCTAAAACATGTAGAAAAATATAGAATCAGTTTTCTTTCTTTCCATAGTGTATATGACAGGGCATTATATCCCAATGTATTTATAAGCTGAACAAAGCCTAGTTTTGTGGAAGCAGTCATCATTTCCCCTTTCTTCTTCTCCTTCTTTCTCTTATTCTTCAGTGCAGGGGATAAAACCCACAGCATTGTGCATGCTAGGCATGTGCTCCACTGCTAAGCTACCTGCATCCTCAGCAGTGAGCATTTCTAATAATGTCTCTCACAACCTTCCAGATACTTGTGCTAGGTGACAACTAGTGTTCAGGAAGTACCTGATGAATTTTATTAGGGAGGATACCTATTTTATTATATTTATCACTTTCAAATCTGGTAAAGTTCCTATTTCATAATCTACTTTTTATTTGACACAGGGTTTGCCATATAGCTCTCAATGGTCCCAAACTCATGGACTCAAGCAATCCTCAAGCTGACTTTGCCGCAGCCTTGAGCAGCTGGGATTACAGACATGTACCACTGTGCCTGGTCCAGTGAAGTGTTTAGATTTTAAATACTCCTTTTCTTTCTTATCCCTTAGTTAACCTTTTTGCTCATGTACTTCCTTACATTAGGTTGATTATGACAAAATAAGAACTGAGTAATTAATTATTGTTTTTAGTCCACAATTGTTTTGACAATCTCAATTACTATTGTCATTCCAATTCTTGAATCTTTTTTAGAATACAATTTCAAAATTCACTAAAAATTGGAAATTGATTGTTTCTTTCATATTCAATTTGCTTTGCAAGAAATATTTTACTTTTTGTGTCAATGTATTCTTGAGAGAAAAGATTGACTCCAGGAATAAAAAAATGCTGAAGTTCTTCTTTCCTGAGTCTCTCAAGAAAGAATGCCACACATTCATCAAAGCAGAGGTGTATATCTTCGGGGTTCCAGTAACTGTCCTTTGGGTACTTGACGCATAAATGAAAGAAGGCAGTTTTCACATGGTAAGAGCAGAATTCAGATAATTCTTTTCGTTTTTCAAACTTTTTTTTCAGCTGCTCCAAAAGGTATTTCATTAGTTTTAAACAGTCCTTCCTGTTTAATAAAAAAAAGCAAGCCATTTACTTTTACGTCTGTACAAACTATATTCATTTTATTTTATTTTATCTTTGTCTTTTTGAGACAGGGTCTCACTATGCAGTTGAGGCTGGCCTTCAACTCACTTTGTAACCCAGGCTGGTCTCGCACTCCCAACAATCCTCCTGCTTCAGCCTCCCAAATGCTGAGATTACAGGTGTGTGCCACCACACCCAGCATGCAAACTACATTATTTCTCTAGTGGCCAACTTCAGAAACTCAAAATGAGTAATCCCTTTCAACCTCATTTCTTTGTGGTACACTGCGTTACCAAGAAAAATAAATGCCCAGTTAGTGTAGTTCCAAGTTTGACCAGATAGTCTCTAGCTTTCAACTTAGCCAAACCATCCCAAAGCAATCATCAATAGCTAGTGAGACAGACCCCCCAACCCCTGCACTCTCCTCCTATACTTAATATGCCCTCCTCCCCCAGGTCTCCCCAGCCCTGCAGTATTCCCCAACCCAACCCAGAAATGATCAAGTCTGAGCTTTAGAGTCAACAAAGGCATAAACATATGACACATAACCTGCCATTTAACAAAATAAGAACATTACCTGCAACATTTCATTCCATCAGTTTCACAGCACTTTTTAGAGTCTCCATGATTGTTCAAAATGTCCTTTTCAATGTGAGAAAAAGATAGCCGCCATGTCTCTTCTTAATTTCAAAAGAATAGAAAAGTACTTTACCAAAAGCGTGCATATCTAAACATTTAAGTTAGGTTGCGTCTTTATTCAAATAGGATTCTGAAGATATTGTAGAGGCAAACACATAATGTGAGCAGGTACATTATGTAGTTACATATTAAACCAAGTGATATAAAGAGAATAGGGAAAAATGGGAAATCAGGATAAAGGCAAGGATGTCTGCTATCCCTGTCCCTGTTCAACCTGCACTGGGTGTCCCAGAAAACACAGTAAGGAAAGAAAAAACAGAGTCACCACACAGGAAAGGGAGAAACAAAGCCATCACTATTGATAGATCACATACTTGCACACACAGAAAATACAAAAGAACCCACAAATAAACTCACAAATTTGATTAAGAGTTACTAACACAACAGATATAAAAATCAAACATATTTTTTTTTTTTTTGGTACCAGTGATCAAACTCACAACTGCACACTTGCAAGGCAGGCACTTATGCAGCTGAGCTAAATTCCCAGTCCCCAAAAATCAAACGTGTTTTATATATGACTAATGAAAATGAAATTTTAAGAATGGTATCATTTACAATGACATAAAAATATCAATTTACTTCTAGATATAACTACAAATGAAACATAGAGAGAAGCTGTATATATGACTTCTGTGATGGTTTATGTCAGTGGCCCCCAAGCCTCATAGAATTATGGATGGGACCAAATCTAGCATTTGTGATTGGTTCATTGTCTAGTGCTTGGATTGGTGGTGTAAGTGCTACACCCGCCTAGGGGTGGAGCTGCCTTGCAGTTGGCTGCTGCCAGGAACTGCGGCCCACAACGGCCACCCTGCCTTGGAGCCAACTGAGTATTGACTGAAACAACCTTTCCTTCCCTAATTTTGGGCATCAGGTATTTTGTCTTAGCAAGGAGTAAAAAGTGACTAATACAACTTCCAAGTAACACAGTATGAAAAGGAGGAAAAGAACAACTCAGCAGTGGAGAAACTGAACAAACGCTACCTCAGCAAGGTGGGCGTGGGCAACATGGCCATGCTAAGCTATGCTCATGGAATGAGAAGGGCGCTTCATTTACCTCTGCACGCTTGTTCCCCAAAAGCGCTAACTGCAATATGGGCAAATGAAAACCAGTTAAGGGATTTCCCACAAAACACCTGAGCTATGTTCCTCAACACTGTCAAGGCCAAGAGAAACAAAGGAAGACTGAGACATGGTCACAGTCAAGAGGAACCTAAGGAGACCTAAGTGATCTGTGGATGGGATCATAAGAGCAAAAAAGGACACTCGGGGGACATCAAGGAAATCTGGGCAAAGAATGAACTTAACAATGGTGTGCCAATATCAGTTCATGAATTGTAAGAACTCCTAAGTGAGAAGTTAATGGGGAAAATAGTGTCAGGGGACATGAGAACACTGTACTATCTCTGTGCATTTTATGTAAATCTGAAGCTTTCTAAAATAAAGGGTTTATTAGTTTTGCTTTGTTTTTTATTTTTGAGACAGGGTATCACTCTGCAGCCCAGGCTGGTCTTGAATTTGCAATGATCCTGCCTCAACTGCCCGAGTGCTGAGATTACAGGCATGAGTCACCATGCTGGCTAAATTTATTTATAAAAAAAAAACTACCCTGAGATATCACTTCTTCCTTGACTGTTTAGTTACAAAAGTTCCAACTGGCAAAAAGTTTTACCAAGTTCTACTGACAAGGGCCGGGGGTACCTGAAGCCCTGGGTTCCACCTCCAGCGTAGGGAAGCAGCCTTCCCAGCCTCTACCCCTCAGCCCCAGTTCTACAGCTGAGGGTGGAATGTACTCTGATGCTCTGTGTGAAATTCAAGTTGGGACAATGCCTATGGAGGGAATTTGGGCAGTGTCTAGCAAAATTACCTATGGATTTACTTTCTGACCAGTAACAAAAAAGAGACTTGAATGGGATGGATGTTGGCTGAGGATGCCCAATGTTAGGATGTAGGCTTAGCAGGTATTCATCCCTGGACTCAATCCCTAGCACCCAAGAAAATGGGAAAAAAGAAAGGCTGTTATTTCTATACTAAGTTATGGAGTGATAGCCACAATCTCGTTTAGAGATCAGAGTGGCATATGACTATACCAGTGGTACCTCAGTTTGTGAACTTAATTTTTCCATATTTGGGGAAAGATGACCTAAGGTGTATTTATCATCCAATGCTGAATTCTTGAACAGAAGCAAAATATTGTTGAATGCTTCTGTTTGTGAAATGACTCATTTGCTAACAGAAGCATTTGTGAACCAAGGTATTACTACATATGTACGTATCATATATTTCAAATGAAACATAAACTAAAGGAGATTAATAGTTTATACTCAGGAAGAAGAGAATTCAAAGGAGACATGCATGGAGGAGGAATACCTTTTTCTGTAGCATTAACTTTGGAACTAAAAAAATAAAATAAAATGAACCAGGGGCCTCACCAGGAGGTGAGCCCCACCAGGAAAGCAGCACCAGGCACCAGCTGCTGCTAGAGTGGGGACAGCTACAGCCAAGCCTCTCTCAGGGAATCAGCACCTGGACTGACTGGGGGGCGGGGGAAGCAGGCCTCTCCAGGAAGCGATTCCAGCAATCCCCCGTATCATTATCATTGTTTTGTTTGGTTGGGTTTTAGTCTCTATTTTGTTTATGTTAAATATGATGGCAGTAGCAGCTATTTGAAAGATTAACAAGACATATTGGATTTACTAGTGGCTTGTTTTGAAGTCCTTTATTGCATTCACTGTTTTGGTTTATTGTTTCTAGTCTCTTCTGTTTGATTTTTACTATGACCGAAAGTATCTGCAGCTATTTTGAAGGCAACAAAAGACATTATGGTAACTATTGTTTGTTTCCTAAAATTTTGAAGTCCTGTATCACTTATGCTGGTTTACTTTTGATTGGTTTCATTCTGTTTTATTTTTCTTTGTTTTATGCTCTGTAAAATAAAATATATAAAAAAATTGGAACCATGTGAGTGAATGCATTATAAATTGATCAAAATTTAAAACCAGCATCTAAAAACAGAAACTATAAGGGAAAAAAAGGTGATTGGGCATGATGGTACAGACCTATAAACCCAGCTACTTGAGAGGCTGAGGCAGGACAATCACAAGTTTGAGCCCAGCCTAGGCAATTTAGGGCATTTTAAAAATACAATTTGTGATAGTTCTAGAAAATGTTTGGAAAGAGAAAAGCCAAGACATAAGTGTCTCCAGGCCAGTGTAAGTATTTTCACCACCAGCAAGACTGTTGAATCAGTGAGGTGTGTATACACACACAGGTCTTGTCTAAAGGTAGTCTGCAATAAGAGACACAAAACAGTCCATGGTATCAGACAGCAGTGCTGGAGTTGAACACCCATCATCACCTTCACTCTCTGTCACCTGAATGCAAAAACGTGAGGACTGACCCACTAGGCAGGCCAACGGGGCTGCAAAGGACTTTTTCTCCTCTGCACACTGGATTAGCTTCCATTTTTCTTCAAGGCAGCAGAGGGTCAGCAAGCAGATAGCATGGGGCCATGCTGAGATTGCTGTTATCACATACAAGGAGGGTTTTTGGGAGCTTAGAAAATTGGTCAGGGGTATAGCTCCTTTTTACAGAAAGCTATGTTGTTTACAAAACCATGAAGATAGGTTAGATAAAACACTTGAAGACACTGGTATAGACAAAGACTTTGTGAACAAAACCCCAGCTGCACAGGAGCTATCACAAAGAATCAACCACTAGGATCTCATCCTATTGAAAAGCTTTTGCACAGCAAGAGAAACCACCAACAGAGTGAAGAGACATTTTTTTCCCACAAGATGGGAGAAAATGTTTGCCAGTTGTACCTCAGACAAAGGATTACTATCAAGAACATGTAAAGAACTCCAAAAAAATCATTCCTCCCAGATTTAAAGACCCAATCTAAAAAATGGGCATCTGAGATGAATACATACTTCTCAGATAAACAAATACAAACAGCAAATAAATATATGAAAAAATGTTCAACATCACTGGTTATTCAGGAAATTAGAACAACAGAGATTCTACCTCATGCCAGAAAAAGTGGCTCTTAGCAAGAAATCAAGCAGTAACAAATGCTAGAGAGGTTGTGGGGAAAAGGAAGCCTTTTCCACTCTTGGTGAAAGTGTAGCCTGGTACAACCACTGTGGAAATCAGTGTGGAGATGCTCCAAAAAGCTAGGACCAGAGTTCCCATTCAATCCAGCTATTCTCCATCTGGCTATCTTCCCAGAAGAATTAAAAACGTCATACCACAGCAATATATATGTATCAAGTGACATGCTTTTGAAATTTTTTTCTCTTTGAAATAAAATAGATTTGAAAAATAAACAAATAAATAAATTTATGGGAGAAAATGAAAGTAATCAGCTACTTTGTTTCCTGCCACCTGAAAAAAATATCACAACTGCCCAGTTTTATTGTCTGGTTCTTGGAACTTGCATGTTACTTCACCACAACCTAAAGATCACCCTGCTGGGAGAGGCCAGGACATCAAGGAGAAGGCAGCACTCACCACCTGGCCCCAGTGAGGCGGAGGCAAGAGAGTGCACTGGCTGTTGCTAGGTGAGATGCGAAGGGAAACAGTGCTAAGGGTGAGCAGCTAGGTAGTGAGAATGCTATGGATCATAGCAATGAACTGCCATGAATTGAATGAAGTTGGGACCTCACAGGCACCAGCTCATTTCTACCTTCCTAAATAACTCTATTAGCCCAGCACACAGATGCGTGAACAGGCTCCAAGAGGACCTGCACCCAGGTCAAGATCATACAGCTGGTCAGAGAAGATGTCCCAGGATTCAGAACTGGAACAGTCTGACTCTAAGGCCAGTACTGCCTTTCTTTAAAAAAATAAATAAATTTCAAATGTAGGTATTTCATACTCTAACTATGCACTTTTCAATTCCACCTCCAGGCCAGGCATGGTGGTGCACATTTCTAATCCCAGCACTTGGGAGGCTGAGGCAGGAGGAGCACTGTGAGTTCAAGGCCAGCCTGGGATACATAAGGGAGTTCAAGGTCAGCCTGAACTTCATAGTGAAACCTGTCTCCAAAAACCAAAAAAGAAAAAAATCAATTCCATTTCTCACCAAACTATCATCTTGCAACCTATTTAGCCTGATAGGTTTCAAAACGCCAACAGCATTAGCAGGCTGTTGATCTACTACCCTTGTATGTAATACTAACAACTCTTCAGTCTTTACATTAAAAATACCTTGGAAACTTTGTCCTTCTTTCGCATTTTTGGGAATAAGATAAAATGGCTTTCGTCTTAGTTCAGTCCTGACTTTTCCTCCAAGCCAGTCTTTGATGGGCAGGCCTTCTGTGGTCTTTAGAGGCCAGCTACTCCTTAATTCCAAAGCAAGGATTATATCCACAGATATTTCTTCAGGTTCTTTAATAAGAAGTGTCACTGCAGGGCTCCTGGGTTTTTTCCTTTCCATAACGACCTTTATGTCTGTTTAAATGGATCAAAGGAAAGAAAAAGTTTATTGACTCAATTTTTCCTGGAAGTGAGATAACTGATCTGTGAAACATTAAGTAGAAAGTGAACCTGACTTCTAAGACAGAAACTGGCCCCAGGCGGAGTGTTTACTGATTTAACCAACACTTACTGACTGCCATGGAGGCATGGACACAATGCAAGGGGGCGTGCTCTGATGACTGTGGGGCTTGGGCATCTGGGATGAAAATCCCAGGTAGGATTGTGGGACACTGGGGTAGAAGGGGGAGCCATGTGAGCAGCAGAAGAGGGTTGGAAGGCAGTCTCTGCAGCAGTACAGCATAGACAGTGAACACTGAGACCCAGGGGAGGCAGGGGAGAGCAAGGGGTCAAACCAAGGCTGGGCTGCAGCTTAATTAATTATTCAGTTCGATAAAGGGGTTCCATTCTGTGGATCTGCAGCAGAGGCAGGATACGTGAGGGGAACAGGAAGGTGACCTTGAACCAGGAACCCACACCAGGATTTTGGCCTGGGAAATGGTTCATTTTGACCCCATTCCAAAAAACAGAAAAAGCAGAAGGAATGACTGGGCTGAGGCACATCATTCTTTTGGTGCTATGACTCTAATTGCCCAAAAGCAGATAGTCACTGGACAGGTGGCTGTGGAGGTCAGAGTCCAGGTGTCTTTGGGAGCCAGGGGTGTATGGGCAGGAAAGACTCCTAGGAAAGATTCCCAGGAGAAACTACGCTGAGCACAAAGGAGAAAATGCAAAAGTGCACCGGTACAGCAATTCCTAGTCCTAAGAAAAAGAAAAAAAGAAAGACACTGACAACTAACGGAATGGAACCCTAACTGTCAAGTGGACACATGCTTAAGAATCAATTGGGAGTATACCAGACTCTCTTGGGCAATCAATTAATCATCCAGTGTTTTGTTTTGTTTTTTTATTTTGTGGTCTTTTTGAGACAGTTCAGGCTGGCCTTGAACTCACTTTGTAGCCCAGGCTGGCTTCAAACTCATAGCGATCCTTTTGCCTCAGTCTCCCAAGTGCCAGGATTAACAGCCTAATCATCCAGTTTTTGAAACCTATCTGTGTCATGATGTCAACTCTGTTAATCTTATTATGTCATCATTTCTTAAGTCTTCAATATGCAAATAAAACTATTTTCTTTGTTCAAAATGCTGGAGAAATCTGCATATCTGCCTCTGTTGTACCTTCTGCCCTCCTGTCACCACTGAGAAAGTATGGTCCACCTGTCAAAGACCACCTCTGCCCATAAGTTCTGCATCCCTTTCCCCCTCCCTGCTCAAGCACCTCACTCCTTAATTATTCCTTTGGGAGCATCAGCCGTCTCTCCTTTGCTACAGGATCATTTGCACAAAGGGTTACAGTCTCCTATCTGAAATATACCTTTCTCTTGGCTCTACACCTTCCTCCTTCCCACACTTATCCATTTTCCTGCTGCTTTGACAAGCTCTTCCTCAGTTATCACCACTTTCTCCAGTTCATTCCCTAGAGCACCCACTGCAGCTTGTGCCTAACGCTGCTCACACTCTAGGTCTCCTCTAGACTGGAGCTTCAATCAGGGATCCCACCAATTTCATCAAGGTTCATTTACCCAGCGCAACTGGCAGCAGTGCAGGAAATATTCAGTAGAAATCACAGCAGAACCAGCCAACAGTTAAGAAGAATACCAGGAAGATGCAGCAGACTGAAATCAAGCGCAAGGTTGTTTGTAGCAGGAGGCAGTACTCAACAGTCAGCTGCAGGGAGGTCAGGAAAGATCAGGAGAGGAGTGAGCATACACTGGCAGTTAACAGGCAGAACAAGAACTTTAAGGATCAAAAGTCAAAAAGCTTACCTGTGATGTTTTTAATTTCTTCCTTAATAATTTCTCTAAACTTCAACAGCATCTTAGAAGCTGATAATAATTCATTTTCTACAAACCTATTCAGAGGATTTTCTTTGGGATTTCTTTTGAATTTCACAAAGTAATAGGCACCACTGTTAGAATATTCCACTAGCTCAATTCTGGGGACTTCCAGTATAAACATGACATCAAATTCGTTAGGTGCAGAAATCTAGGAAACAGTAAAAATAGTACTGAAATATCTGCTAATAAATATTTTATAAGCAATTGCAATTTTTGTATAATTTTCATTTGAAACCTTGCTTTGAAAAGCAACAATCCTAACATTTAAACCCTCTGGGAGAAGGTCTACTAGAGCTGGGGTTAGGCAGAGAAGTACTGTTGGTTTTAATTTACCGGGTCCACTCTCAATTCACTCTTTCTTATCATTATCAACCATTATTTTTATAATTAATATAATTTTAAATCACAGAATGTACTCTTTTAAAAATCTACTGCAGTTGGTGACAGGTGTGCTGGCACACACCTGTAATTCCAGCAATCAGGAGACTGAAGCAGGAGGATCACTGCAAGTTCAAGGCCAGCCTGAGCTATGAAGTGAGTTCAAGGACAGTCTGAACTACATAGCAAGGCCCTGTCTCAAAAAACAAAACAAAAAGCTGTACCAGTTGGAGTTTTCTAAGTTTAAAATCTAATAAAATAAAACACTTTTAAGAATTTACCTTTTATGTCACAAGATACATACTGCAGCCACCCTCCTGTCACCCCCTGACCGTCCAGCGAGGGCTCTCTTAGCACAACCACCAGGATGCCCCACGTCATGCACTACACTAATGTCTATGAATCACAGTGTTTCTAAGAGCTTTAAAGAATCTTCTTTTCCATACTCAAAATAATAATTTAGCAATCATAATATTTATTCTTCTTTGTTAAGAATATTGTGCTATCTTAGGCTACAAAATGAACCCAAAGCCAGCCTGTACTACATAGCAAGACTGTCTCAAAGAGACAAAAACAGACTTCCGAGAGAACATGGAGGATAGATGGCAGCAGCTACAGAGGCTCTCTGAGATACCCCGCTTAAAATCCAGGAATAGTGCGGTACGAGAAGTCCTAAGCAAGGGAGATACACCCTGCCGACCCAGGAATGAACTAAGCTATGAGAAACCAACTGGAAATCCAATCCTGGTGCTATAACAGGAACAGATAAAATCTCAGCCCAGGAAGCTAGAACCCACGCCACTGGAAGCCGTGATTTCAATTTCCTGCTGCCGCTGCTGCATCCAAATCTGCAGGGCAGGGAGAGGGACACGCGAAACCTCTGAGAGCAGGAATCTGCAAACGGAGTTGAGAGCAGAACTAGCAGGGAGCCCTACATCGACTTGCAGTGAGTGAGCGGAACGGGGACCCTTTCATAGAGTAGGAGGCTCCAGCAAAGGACATACTGGGACCGGGCAGACTCGCCGGGAACAGGATGCTGCAGTGACATTAGCCGTATATTCCCCTCTCAAGCGGGATTGGTGGGGAATGCCTGGCCTGCGTGACACCGCTGACTAAGACCCAGTAGGCAAGCCCAACACAGGTCCCAGTGCCTGGAGGTTCACCCTAGTGAAGCCTTCGGTAGGTTGACCTGGAGGGGCGGGCCCAGCAGAGGCTGCCCAGGTCTGTGTCTTCCTAGTACACTGCAGTGGGCGGGAACACCTAGCCAGCACAATTCAAACAAACTATAACTGACAAAGAGAAAGAAAATTGGGCCTCCTACATTCGCTTATATGGAAGAAACAAAAAGTATGGGAAGAGGAAGCAACAAGAAAGGGTCCTCAGTCCCCAATACTGAGAACACTGATCAGGACCAAGGAAAGGAAAGGAAAACACAAAGGAAGACAAGAAAACATGCAATATCAGACATGGCACCAATAGACATAAAGTGGTATCTCCAGAGCCTCATAGACAAGTTTAAAAATGAAGTATTTAATGAAATAAAGCAAGATATAAGTAGAATAGTTAGAGAAATGCTAAGCACCGCCCAAGAAAAAACAGATGGTGGAATGGAAGAACAGAAAAAAAGGGAAGAATTGTTTGATGGAGAAAATAGAGAAAACATAGAATACGTGAAGCAGGTTCAAAGAGATTACCAAGGAAACTAAAAACTCTGTCGAAACCTGGCACAACAGCTTGAAAGAAACTAAGGATAGATTATCTGAATTGGAGGGCAGATTTGTAATATGGGAGCATGAACTGAAAAACTTCTTAAAAATAACAAGAAAACAAACAGCAATAATACAAAGGCTAGAAGATGATAAGAGGATCTATAAGAATTAAGAACATAAAAGAAGAAGTAGGGACACAAACAAATGGACTACGAAAGCTATTCACAGAAATAACCCAAGAGAATTTCCCTAATTTAGCAAAGGGTAAAGATACTCAGATGTATGAGGCATACAGGACCCCAGCCACCTACAACCCAAACAGAGCTACACCCAGGCATATAATAATCAAAATTCCAGAAATCCAATATAAGAACAGAATACTAAAAGCTGTCAGAGACAAGAAATAGATCACTTACAAGGGAACATCCATCAGAATTACAGCAGACTTCTCGGCACAAACCATCAAATCATGAAGAGCATGGGGGGAAATAATTCAAGCTTTGAAAGATAACAACCTCCAGCCAAAATTGATATATCCTGCACAACTGTCCCTAGAAATTGGTGGAAAAACAAGGTGCTTCCAGGATAAAGAGGAACTAAGGGAATTTGCAACCACCAATTCAACTCTACAGAGAATACTGCAGTATATTCTAAAAAAGGAAAATACCAAGACTTCAGAAACAATGGCAGAAAGGCCACAATGAATGGAGCAGAAAGTGAAATGAAGAAGACGAACTGACAACAAACGACAGAAAAAGATCTCAACAGAAATGAGGCAGAGGAGATTGGATGGTAGGAACAGCTATTTTGGAGAAAACAAGACATCATAATATCTAGTACTGATTTAGTATCATCTTGCTTTGAAGTCCCACCAAGCTTTTATTCTTCTGTCTCCATCGGTCTTAACAGGTTGTATCTTATTGGATTTTATTATATGTGACAATATAAGCAAAAACTTTTATAGACAAGGAGATAATACAGAAATCATTGTTCATTTTCTGATAGTTGGTTCTAAATACCTTGTAATACTGTCATTCTCTTGAATGGCTTTATATTGTCTTGATATGTTTGGTGCTACAGTATACGAAGTTATATTTCAAAGATTTCAAGGAAAGAGACACTATGGTAACTACTTTTATGTCAGGATATCTTGTGGTGAAACACTATTTTGCTTAAATGATTATGCTTTGACCTGCACTGGTTTGTTGTTATGCCCTCTTTTATCTCAATCTCCTTTTTTAAAAAATTATTTACTTTTTTATTTTTATCTTAATTAGGGAAAAATTTAAAAAGCAGGATACATTATAGTAACCCACTTTGATTTCCTATTAACTTGATTTGAAACCCTGTATAGCCCTCACCATCTTGCTTTGACTGATTTTCTTCTATTCTGCTTTGCTTGATAGTACCAAGTTCGAAAGTATAGGCAAAACTGTGAAGACAATAAGATTCATTATGACGCCCATCCCGGTTGACTATTATCTTCTTTTAAAGTCCTGTAATGTCTCCAATGTTTTGGTTTTATTCTTTACTGTTTTGTTCAATTTTATTATAACTGATGATATAGGCAATTCTTTTAAGATAGCAAGAGGCAGTATGGTAACCATTGCTGATCACCTAGTATTTTGTTTTTACATTATCTATTATGTCCATCCTTTTGATTTGACTGACTCTGTCCTGTTATGGCACATTTTGTTTTACTCTCTTCAAAACAAAGTAATAAGAATTGTGGGAGTAATAAAACCTAAAATGTGTAATTGTCATTGTACAAAACAAAGGAAAAGAAAGTGGTCTAACTGCATATATAACATGAATAGAACTGCATATATATATTTAAGTGTATAAGATAGATAACCATATTACTGAGTTTTGTTGGATCATTGAACAAAACTGTTTCCAGTCTCACTGTTTGAAAGTCCACTTTATATGCTTTAATTTTGTAACTTGAATAACTATTTCTAAGATAACAATATGTAATCTATTAACTAGTGATTTCCTACTGTTCATGTTTTCTGAAATTCTGTATAACTTGTACCCTTTTTCTGTTTTTTTCTTTTTCTCCTTAAATAAAAAAAAAGAGACAAAAACAAAAAAGAATATTGTAAATCTTTCTTTACTCCTTAACAACTATTATACAGCACTGTTACCCCCCACCAAGCGGGAGAGGGGCATTGTTTGTTTGCTTTTTGAGACAGGGTCTTGCTGTGTGGTTCAGGCTGCCTCCAGGGTGCTGGGCCACCACACCCAGCCGGATTGCACTGTTTAAACCAGGACAGAGTGGTTTATTCATTGCAATGAAATACAGCAAGTCCCAACTCAAAGATACCATGCGGCAGGTTCCCCAAATCCACAAATTGAAGTTCTAACCCAGAGTGTGATTATACTCAGAGATAGGGCTCTCAGGTAGTAACTGAGGTTAAATAAGGCCATAAGGTAGGGCCCTAATCCCACACACCTGGTTCGAAACAAAGAGGAACAGCAAGGGTGTGCCCCTGCGCATGTGCGCTGAGGATGGCACTGAGGGCACACAGCAGGGAGGCAGCCAGGAGAGGCTGACACCTGATCTCAGACTTCTGCATCTGGAACTGTGCAGACACAGCTCGACTGCTTAAATCCATGATACTTGGCCACAGGTAGCCCAGGACAACTAGGGTGTACTGTGAGGTTGTGGGAAGCCGCCTATGAATGGCGCCCATTTCCTGCTTCCGGGTTCTTCCCGGCCTGAACAAGCCCGCCAAATTGTCATATCTGCCCAGTTACCCGTGACGCTAGCCTATCAGCTTGTTAGGCGCGCTTCTCTGTGATTGGATACTGCTTCCCCTTATAAGAGGTTGTTCCTGCCCCCAACGGCGGAAGAGGAAGCAACACTGAGGGTGGCGGACCTTGTCAGGTCCGGTTCGCTGTACGTAATAAAGTTTGAGAGCTGATCCTGCTCGAGTTTGGTCTCCTGTCTCCCGCGGCTCCGGTCATCTGGTGGCCGCCCGTACGGGGAAAAAGGTAAAAGACTCAGCGACGTGCCTCTTCGGCCGGGAGGTGCGATTGCTGTCGCCTGCGGTACGAC